ATCTGTTTTACGCCACATACCAGTGGCTTCTATTTCATGACTTAGTAAGTTGTGCTCAGTCTCTTCTGTATTCTTTATGAAAGTATGCATTTTTTATTTCTAGTTTTTGATGTGCTGAAGTTTCATTTTTGTATCTGTTATGTGTATTGAATTCAGGTTCTTGAACTCATATTAGAGGATTTGTTAAATCCTGATACTTCCATGAATTCAAAGGGGAAACAAATTCTGTGCAACACAGATGTAATCAAATGAATGAAACCTCGGGTTTGTGTGCAAGTGTGTACATATGATATTTCTTGTATTTAACTAAGATGTTTGATAGCAGTCCCGATCTTCCTGAGCTCTCTGCTTGTACTTGGCTCAAGGAATAGCAATCTGAATACTTGACCTACTACCATTCTACATTTTGAGATGGCAGTTTTCCATTAAGAAGAGTAACTTAACCACTATCATTAGAAAATAAACTATGCTGGTTTCATTATACAAAATCACCACCATTTTATGACTTTACAGCTATACTGCTGTTGTCACTAGATTATATGGGGCTGCACAAAAAATGGGGCAGTGTTCTAACAGCATATATGAACAATGATTCATAAAAAATTAGTTGCCAGTACAAGACAAACCCAAATGTGCAAATTAGATTATTTGTGAAATGTAATTACCCATAGAATGGGGAAATGTTTCGATGTGTGCTCATTTCACGTCCTGTGCACAACTATCTTACCACATGTTTTACATTAATGGGACCAACAATGATGGAATCTCAGGAGCAAGGAGTATCTTCCCTTTTATCTGAGATAAAACCAGTCTCAGTTTCTGCAAGTAAGTGCTTAGCACCACCTGCTCCTTCTGCCTTTTCCTGCATCCTGACCACTTCATTTAAAACCCATGATTCCCAGCAGGTGGGTGTGCTCTATATGTGGTAATTGAAAATAATTGTACTTGAAGAAAAGAAGAAACGAAGGGGAAAATTTCAAAAGCTGAACAGGAGGAAAAACAAAAAGTGTTTAAAATTAAAAATGGAGGGCTAAGTGGACAAGAAATAATGCTGAGCTGAAGCACAAGGAAGAGGTGAATTGTAGCAAGGGCAATATGAAAGCAAATAAATGTTAAAGAATGGAAAGTGCCAAATGAAGAAGTGGAAAAATTAAATGAAGAAATTGTTTTAGGGAAGCAGAAAGTAAGCAAACCAAAAAGGGAGAACCAAGTTAGAACCTGCATATAACTTGTGTTTTCATCTGTACTTTAGCCTTCCCAGACAGAGTCAGGACTCTGTGAAAACCTCTTTCTTAAATAAGCATTTTTTTTTCTTCCAGTCTGCCTCCTTTTGTGCCCCATTAAAACTGACAGAGAAGTCAGCAGACAGGTGAGGGATACAATGACCAATTGGGAGGTTTTTTTTCTTCTTTATGATGTTTTCTTCCTTCTGTTGCTGTTGTTGGTTCTGGTGATTTTTTTGTATTTTTTTTTTTAGCCATGTTTCTATATTAGTTAATGCAAAGCAGATGGACCACAGGTAAAGCGTTGGTTCCTTTAATGACAGTCCCCTGGCTTTATAAAGAGGGAATCATTTCTAGATTAGGAAATAGCAGCACTGGGATGAAAAGGGAAACTTTTTCACAGAGCCCTAATCCTGCATCCTTTTAATAGTATACTATAGGACACACTCAGAAACAGGGCACAAAAGTAGTGAGAATTTAGGGCTGGGAATTTAGTTTGGCCTAAGCGTTGCTACTCTGCAATGTTGATTTGCTTTTCTTCAGCCCTGCCAAACTGAAATTAGAAATGAATTATCATTATAGTTATAGTTATTTCTTTATTTTAAATTTATAATAGGAAAAAAAAAAAAAAAAAGATGTAGCATCTTAAAGAGAGAATGCTCAGATTTCCCTTCCCAGTTGGGTCAAGTGTTTCTGAAATAGATCTGAACTTTACTTCTGAACTAAACTTTTTTACATTTCAATTGTGAAGCAACTGCAAATGAACTGTTGTTTGAATGCAGCTAGAGGGCAGTTACATATATTTTTTTTATCATTATGCTCAGTAATCACTTGCGTAGGAGCTGTTAAACAACTCCATGCAGATAGCAAAAATATGTAGTATCTGTGTGGTCTTATTTAAATCGCACGCAAACAACTTATAATAGCATTATTATGAATGTCTGGAAGACTCAGCAACCAAACAAATCAGTACAATCTAAAAAAAAAAAAAAGAAAAGAACACATAAAATCTGGTAGATAGCATGGTAATTACGTTTAGATATTATCTAATGGTCAGGAGTGATCTCCTGAGTTCCTAAATGACAATGACAGATTAGCACTAATAAGATAAGCATGATAGTGATGGAAAATGAATCGATGGGGGCAAATCTGTTACACACCAAAAGGATACCAGAAAGGGCTGGTAATATCTGGTAATTCTTTTATCTTTTCAATATTATGTTTAATCCTGTGCTTTCAAATTTCCAGCTGCTTTCAAAAGAAAACATTCCTGTGACTTGAGATTAAAAAAAAAAAATTATAAACTTTCTCAGCCTTTTTTTATCATCCATAACTTGCTATTACATACCTGACATGCGCAGATAAATTGTATGCAGATTAGTTGGTATTAATTTTTATATCTATATATTTTTCGCTGCTACTGTGTTTATGCTGTGCATGACCAAAATTTTACTTTATTCACAGTAATCCTAATAATGGCCTCCATTTATCAGAATATTGCAAAGGAATAAAACCAAAACATATCTAATTTCACTAGACTGTTACTTTACTCGAAGATAAGTACTATAATATAATCTTGCTGAGTTGGTGCCATTACAAAGATGCAACTGATTTATAAATTTACCAGAAATAAGCTGTTGCAAAGGTACCACTCTAAAGTCTATTCAAATTTTCTGTAGAAGCAACACAGTAGGGTAATTTTTTAATTATGTTTCAATTGCATGTACAGAATCAATCCTTTAAGTTTGAAATGATTACTGATTTTCATTCATCCTGTAGTGGCACATTTTAATTCCCTAAGAAGGTTAATAACTTTATGTGTTCACTGTTTAAGTAATTCCTTAAATCCCAAATACTTACATGAGCAACTTTGCTGGCTTGTATTTACTTCCATTGAAATATATTATAGGAAATACCTGTAATAAAAGCGTACTTCATTAAATTTCATTGTAAAAAGCTGTATAATCCTGGAAAAAAAATAAAATAAAAAGAATGCTGATCTCTAATACTGTTTTTAAAAGGGAACCTTAATTCATGAAAAACTGCAGTCATTATCTCTCAATTTCATTAAAAACATGAATAGGTGCTTGTGTTCTAAAGCTGCTGTTGAAGTCAATATAAAAGATTTCCTCAAGGATCAGGGTGATATCAGGATTAAAATAGAGTTAATTAAAAAAATATTCACTCATTGGTATTTCTACCTCATGTTGATATTTGCTCATTGGTATTTCTACCTCATGTTGAGACTGCGTAGAAGGTTGGGTGTTTGTTATGAAGCTTAGCATTGAAATATTTTCAAACCGCAGTGTCATCCAGGTCTACAGCTGTGAGAAGGTGCACCATCAAATGGTTATTATTTTGCGGTGGTTCTTAGGACAGTCAAACACCTACAATGCCACTTACAGTCTGGATAAAAGACAAATTCCTTGAACTTCTGAGAATTGGATTTTTGTAAATTATTATGATTAGTAGTAGTAGTACTCAGAAGTGAAACTGCATGAAGATAGGACTAAGATTGCTATATGACTCCATGGAGCTGTGGGAGTTGAGTGAAGCTCAAGAGATGCTGTATCATTTAAAGCAGCCCTATGAGTAATAAAGCTGATAACTGTTCAATGTTGGTGAGTAGGTTCTTCTCATTAATTACAGTAGTAAAATTCTTCCACTGATGATGTGGTGTGACCTCCCTCAGTAAAAATATGTTGATATTCTGAAAAGCTCTATGTTAGAGGTGTTCATACACTTATTTACGACTCATTTCATTTATTTACTTACAGCTCATTCCCCTGACATGCTTTAAAGAGACATAGAAAATCATGAAGTAGTTCAAAGGAGATTTTTCAGAGGTCCCTGTGAGAAAACTGAAGCAAAGAAGGAATTAAATTTTTCTAAAGCAACATTTTCCTTAGAATTTTAGCTTGTTGCCTACACATCATCAATACTTCATCTAAATATCTGTTGACTTCTTATTTGAGGCCTTGCTCCACTAAATTAATGAGCTCAGTAGGTCAAATGGTGCATGTTCAGGAGATTTAGAGTTATTTTTATAGCTATTAGAAAAAGAAAAAAAGCAAAAGCAGCTTTAGGCTTTTTTTAACTGCTGAGCCTATGGAAGTTGCTAAGGCAGAAAAACACTGCTCTTTTCTGTACTTCAACTGCAAGTAAAGGAAACTTTTCCATTAGACAGACACAAAGCTAGCTTGTAATAGAGCTACTGCAAAAAAAAAAAAAAAAAAAAAAAAAAAATTATATATAAAAAAAAACAAAACAGAGGGCAATACAGCAAATGATATATGCACCGTAGTCTGTTTAATATTCAACATGAGAAGTTCTTGCTATTCTACAGAATGGAATAAACATGGGAGTTTCCAAAATGGACTGCGCCTGTTTTAACAATGAGGAAATGAAAGAAGATTGAGTGTTGAAGTTTTTTTCCCAACTTGTTTGTTGTTTCTGCTGTTTTCAGTTGAAAAGGAGTTGGAAATGGGAACATTTCTGCCTGCAGGTATTTGGTGAACGTGATCAGAAAACTGCTAGAAATTGTAGAAGTTAAATGAGTGGAGATTTGGATGTTTCTATCCAAATTCTACCTATTTTGCCCAATTTAGCTATACTTCTATTCCTTATCACATCTGAAAGACTGACTTTTTGTTGTTGTTTTTGGCAGAGAACTTCAGAAAATCTCCTTGAAAAAGGAACGGAAACATGAGGCAGAAACCCATGGTGTCCTGAGAAGGTTACCTGCTGAGGGAAAAAAAAAAAAAAAAAAAAAGAAGTGGTGGGAGACCTTGAAAGCAAAATCATGAAGGGAAATGTGCTTTGTCCCAATGGCAGAAGTCACAGCCCAGGTAACTGCCTCAGAGAACTGCAGGCACAGTTTCTCGCTTCATCCTCATTTCTGTCGAACCTGAAGACTTTTCAATTTCTAAAGTCTGCAATCTAGCGAGTGTATGGCATGCTGCATGCTTTCTCATGAAGGACAGGAAGAACAAGAGAGAAGTTAAATAAATGTTTGATTCCTACTTTGTCAACTGAGATAATATGGAAAGGAAGGGACAAATTGAAAGTTTTTAGAGGAAGAACTGAGACGTCTATTACTGCATCTCTCTGCTTTGTGAAAACAACGTGTACTTAGAAGATAATCAGGCATATATAAAATACTTGCTGGGATTAGAGAGCTAACATTTGTTAGGCAGATATCTTGCATAAACTTAACAAGGCTAGGTCAGCTTTATTAAAAGAAAAGAAACAGTCAGCAATGTAGTTATGTTTGTAAGAAAACTATTGGAAAGCTCTGACAAAGAATGTGTGTGAGGGAGGAAAAATAATACTGATTATACTGTAAAAGTAAATTCTACTCAACTCATGCAGTAGGGTTTTGACCATATATTCTAGTGGCCTGTGTCAAGGAGATCCTGATCCTGCAAGTGGCTGTCATTTCATTAAATAATGTAGGTGGCTCTGAAACTAATGCCTCCTATTTCTTTCCATGGAAACTACAACAGATACAAAAAGCACAATAGTACTATTTGATAGAGCTAATTCTTAGCTACAAAACACTATTTCTCAACTAAACAGAATCGTTAACTATGCATTTTCAGTGATGAACAAGAGCCTGCATGCTGGACTTCTCAAAAAAAAAATCTATTTATCTGTCCATTCCAGCTTCTCTGTCATATTGCATTACTGTTGCCACTGCTGAAACACACCACCCACTGGCTCTCTGTGCTCACATCCACTGTGTGGTCTCTACCAACATACCAACATTGATGAATGTCTATGGTTGTCATTGTTTCCACTTGGAGGAATTTAATGACACACCTTTGCTTCACCCTCACTGCTATGTCAGATACCATTTCATCAGATTTCCCCTCTGCTGCCATCTGTCACATGACAACAAAATGTAATAGATTATCACTTGGAAGATTCAGCCTTTACTGCCGTATCACCAATATCCGCCTCTGACGTCATGGGCCAATACAATAAATTACGAGGACATTACTTTCGGTGCAGCCTTTGCATTTTCTGGAGGTCTTGAAATAGTTTTTCATAGTGTGGGTGCTTACAGTTTGGTGATATTTCTCCTTTCAATCTAGAAATGACACTTAAAATACTTGACTATTTGGCTAGTTAGGTCTAAATGATAGGTTCTGGGTGCAGTCTCTACTTTGCAGTCTCTGGTCCTAATGTTGCTCTCTTCCTAATGTTCTGCAGTGTCTTATATCCCTCATCTCCCTGCTTCTAACCAATTTTTTCAGGAAGCAGCTATGGAAAGCCATTTGAACAAACATGCTAACATTCGGGGGCAAATTCACATTGCCAAAATGTTAGTTTAAGTCCACTGAAATGCGGTTTGTATTTTTCTCTGTAATACTTTTTGCTATTTTAACTTCAGACTTCTTCAAGAGTGTTCTTATTTAACTGAAAGAACGAATAGAAAATAGGAAGGCACAGTTTATGCTTAGCCTTTATTTCCGCAATTATTTATTTATTTTTGGTTAGCCAAGGTTATTTATTTACAAAAGCCAACTTACAGCATCAGTAGCCCTCAGAACGGAGGGTCTCCTCATGCTAGCATGGCCAAGGCCTGCAGTTCCCCACAAGATGGCGGAGCCCAGTGCCCCGGTCCTGCTGAGGTACAAAGGCCCAACTGTTTTCTTTCAGACAAATGGAGGAGTTTCAGATAGCTTTACTCCCCATCTTGGATGAAAATAAGTGGTGGAACATTGAATTTTCCATGTCGTAAAAGTTCCTTTTTTATGTTTTGTTCTCAGTCTCTTCTGTTACCGAATCTGTTGGATGCAATGCAGATGCCACATAAACAGATGAATTTTGGTGAGTCATAATTCATATTTTTAGTTGTTTATTAATAACGGTTATAAAGGAGATTGTTGAACAGCTACATAAATGTGCCATATTCCTGCAGCTGCATTTTCTCTTATATTAAATATTGTATTCAGTCAAAGGCGTGAAGGAGCTGTTTTTCCCCTTGTGTTTAATTGCCAGTACCATTGACAGAGAACATCAGTAAAACTTGTGGTGACATTTTCAAGTTTCTTTTGAAAACAGTTATTTTAAGAACTGTTTGATTCAACAGTATTGGCACTTGTTTATTTTATTGCAACATTTCGAGCATGTATGCTTTTGGTTACACAAATACTTATGGAGGGTTTTTATCTGCGTAAATACGCAGAGGCAGTAAAAAATATTCATCAGTCCTCCTTTGTTGGACATTTGCTGCTATTGCCATTTAAACTTTTTTTTTCTAATCTGGGGATTAGGAAGAATTGTGTCTGACAGAGAGGAAAAACCATTTGCAAACTTTCAGCAGGGAAAAAATAGTTTATATTTAATTTCAGGTATTGGTGCACAGCTCCTTATGTTTCTGTAAGATTCACTGGCTTTCTACCTTAAATCGCATCAGTTACTCTTCTGTATTTTATCTGTATTGTATACTACAGTTTAAGAGTAATTCATCTCTCTGGAGATAAGAGGAAAACTTTGGAAACAGAAGAAATAATAGAAGGATGTTAGAAGAACTTTAGAAATCCTATATTTGTAGCCCAGATTAATGAAAAAGTACATCAGAATACTATCAATTGTTTATGAACAGAAAAGAAAACCTATTGCCAGCAAACAGATTTCTTAAAATAAATCATCTTATAAGCTACAGAAAAAGTGTGCACTTACAGACATATTGCTTCTAGTAGGGGCACATCAAGAAAGACTCTGAGATGCAAAGTTTTCAAGTAAGAAGCTCAATGAAATATGAAAGTAAATGTGTACCTTTTTCCTGACTTGATGTTACGTTACTTGCTTCTATCTTGGACCAAAACCAAATGCATTACACTGTCCTCTTATAGCCATTAACATATAATGGACTGTGTTTTCTCCCTGACCTTCTTCCACTGCTCCCTCCACACATGCTTTGTTATGGTGCAGTGATCCAGATTTCTGCTGGATCTGTGAAAATAATGACTTATATTTCCGACTGACTCTGTTCATGAATGTGTAGTTCAGGTGAATGGGAGTTCCTTATGTTTCATTAAATGATATTTCCCTGTGCTCCAAGAGAAAAGTAGACCTTCAGGAATAGGTCTGTAATGATTGTACTGCTTGGATTTCCAACTCCTGGATGCACTGGCAGTGTGAAAGCAGATGCTCAATGGTTCTAGCTATGCTTGTCTGATGTGTTTTTGTGTAAAATTTCTTGAAATGAAGTTGCTGATTATTCATTAAGACCCCATGGTGGGACCACTCAACAGTCACCTAATTTGGTGATTCACCATCCAAAGAATCATTTCTATGAATTTAGCACAGTGGAAACTCTCCATCTCTCACTTTGGGTTCACCCTGTGTGTGAGACTTCACCAGAATGTCTTCTTTCACAGGTTTTCCTTCTGCATCTACCTTAAATCCTCTTTGCATCTAGTACATCATTTGTATTCTAAATTTGTTGCTATAAATGAGAAAAAGAAACATAATTTTTCCCATTAATGTAAAGCACTGTATTTTGCTAGCTATCAGTTCATAGTTATGTAAAGGTGTCTTGGCTCTTCAGTGTGGAATGGTTAGTTCAGGAGCTGGAATTATTTCACAAATCATAAATAAGTAGCCTTTATTCAACAATTCACTAAATAACTTAATAAAATACATTTTAAATATAAATCAACAGTTGAATTCATGAAATTCATGTGCTTCTCAGCAACTACTTTTTAAAACTAAATTAATTTTAATGTTTATTAAAAAGTGTTATTTACTTGTGTAAATTGCAGTAAGCAACAACAGCAGAAGTCACCATACCACAAACAAAAAGCTGTGCAATAAAACTGAGGCAGGTGGTTTCACCTCCACAGCTGTAGGACTCTCAGTTGGGCTGCCTCTATGTGAGCATCACTCTCACAAGGTAACCATCCCCTCTAGAGAAACTTGTGTAATAACTGTATTCACTCCGATAGGAGAAAATGTGAAGTAAGAAGAAGTGCTCTCTCATATTTTCCTATACTGATGTTACTCCATTATATATATATATATATATATATTAGTTACGAAAGAAAATTACTGATTTCCCACTTTGGATGCGTGAAGATAATGTATTCTTTGATTTTTTTTTCTTTTTAATTTTAGTATCAGAATGCTTTCCCTCTCACTTTGCCTTCCCACTTCATCAATATACTCCAGTATTATACAGTATAGCTAATGGTTACAGACTTCCTTCTGAAAGTAGTGAACTTGAGAGTTTTTATGGAATTTATTTTTTGTTGTTTTCTTATTATGATTTTTTTTCAAAACTTAAAAAAAAAAAAGACCTCAAAGCATGTCTTCCTGAGGTGCATGTGGAGAAGCTTCTACTCTTGCATCTGTAGATGCAAGCACTGGGTCTCTATGCTCCACCAAACCTGTCAGCAATTGCTTGCATTTTAATCAATAAAAAGGCTGCAGAGAGCTCTCTATAATATGATGATATACGACCATGAAATTCTTTTTCTTTGGAAAAGAAGGCAGTGGGTGGCAGGGCTGATACTTGTCTATGGTATTTCCATAAGCAAACATCCACTTAGTTGCCAAACATTATTATTGCTGTTTTTCAAATTGCTGCATTTATATTATTTGCTTGGTAAGTGTTTTGCTAGGTGGGAGTTCCTGCTTATACTTTTTAAAGACAACTGTTTTTGCATTGCATTATTATTATTATTATATGGGGATGAGTGGCTGGATGAGTGTGAAGAAGAGAAGGACCTGGGGGTGTTGGTTGATGCTCAGCTGAACCTGAGCCAACAGTGTGCCCAGGTGGCCAAGAGGGCCAATGGCATCCTGGCCTGCATTAGAAATAGTGTGGCCAGCAGGAGCAGGGAGGTGATCATCCCCCTGTACTCAGCACTGGTGAGGCTGCACCTCGAGTACTGTGTTCAGTTTTGGGTCCCTGTACACTACAGGAAAGATGTTGAGGTCCTGGAGTGTGTCCAGAAAAGGGCAACGAAACTGGTGAGGGGTCTGGAGCACAAGTCTTATGAGGAGCGGCTGAGGGAGCTGGGATTGTTCAGTCTGGAGAAGAGGAGGCTCAGGGGAGAACCTCATTGCGCTCTACAACTTCCTGAAGGGAGGCTGTGGTGAAGACGGCTTTGGTCTCTTCTCCCAGACAATGAGCAGGACCTGGGGAAATGGCTGCAAGTTGTATCAGAGGAGGTTTAGATTAGACATAAGGAAGAACTTTTTCTCTCAGAGAGTGGTCAGGCACTGGAATGGCTGCCCAGGGAGGTGGTGGAGTCACTGTCCCTGGCAGTGTTCAAGAAGCATCTGGATGACGTGCTGCGTGATATGGTTTAGTGCTAGTGGTGGCAATGGTGATGAGGAGATGGTTGGACTGGATGATCTTATAGGTCATTTCCAACCTTGTGATTCTATGATTCTATAATGCTATTTTGTTTGTTTGTATAAGCAATTCCTGTACACATGCTTTTGAAAATGCAAGCTCCTAAATTATCACATCAGTGAATCCTGATCTATGGTTACTTGAGTACAGGATTGGTTCCCTGTCTGCATTTGGTAGCATTAGACTGCAAGGGAGGACCTAGTTACAAGATCTCATCAGCCTGGCAGGGAGCAAGCAGCTCAGCATACAAGGGAGAAGCCAGCAAGAGGCTTCCTTCAAGAACTAATTAAAAAGAGGAAAAAAGGGATTTTTCTTGTATTGCAGGCAGTACCATGGACTTGGTGAGTGCCTGGGGCTACTATATGTTGCTCACTTTAGGCACCAGTTGAATGACTTCAGTGCAGCTGCTAGAAAATTTGCAGATTGTCTGCAAGGGAGGAGGTTGAAGAAAGCAGTTTTATTCCTAATACATTTTAGTGAGTGATTTGAGTGATTGTGTATGCAGGAAACCTGAAGAGTTTCACAAGTCCTCCTGGGCTGCTTGTTTAGCTAATGTTACATTTTTCCTTTGAATGCAATGATGGACGCTGTGCAAAACAAATAATGTTATGTCACTGAATACTCTCTAAGCAGAGAAGATGACAAAGAATAGCAATAGCAGTTAGTTTATGAAAGGTGATTAAATCAATGAGTAGTGTATTCTGTGCTTAATGAATGTATTAATATAAATATCTCTCAACAATTCTCTCAAAGCGTTTCAATCAGAATTTCTCTAAAATCATATAATAAGCACTGTTGAGTATTTTTTTCTTTTCTTTTTTAATTTTAGTTTGATGGCATTATTTCACTTTTGAAATTACAATTTCATTTTTACTTCTTTAAAATAATAACAGAAAAAAAAAAAAAAAAAGAGTGTAATAAGAAGCCAGGAATTAATGGCAGTGGCTACTTCTGTTGAAGAAAGGGCTACTGAAACTGGGTTATAGAGTCATAGAAATATAGAATGGCCTGGGTTGAAAAGGACCACAATGATCATCTAGTTCAACAGCCCCTGGTATGTACAGGGTCGCCAACCACTAGGCTGCACAGAGCCACATCCAGCCTGGCCTTGAATGCCTCCAGGGATGGGGCATCCACAACCTCCTTGAGCAACCTAGTAGGCAACCATTATCAATGTAAGCAGGTAGATCAGTTTTTAAAGGCTGCCAATGAACACTTCATATCTTTACATCTTGGAAGCTGGGTCTGGATACTTAGCTGAATATGTATTCTACTTTAGCTCTGAAGTTTTGAGATTTGATGTAGGATTTACTGCATGACATTTTCTGGCCTCTTGTATAAGGAAGGTCAAATCTGTCAATCATGCTAATCCCTTTGGGTTTTAAAATCTTTTAAACTATTGTGAAGAAGCTAGCTGCCAATTAACTTCTGTGTCTGGAGTACAGATCTTCAGCTGAGAGCT